CTTCGGGCAACAGACAGCCCCTATACTGTAGGTCTGTATCGCGCGACTCGTTCTTCGCCTGAATCGCGTCCAGTATGGCGTCCGGATCTACTAAACCCGATGTCCGCACAACCGATAGCAAGTCGTTGACGGAAATCAACGACAGCCGTATGCAAGACATGATATCGCGTACAGTTTCGGGCGAAGAGTTACACATCGCCTGATTCCGTTGCGTCCATTCGCTGACCGCTCGAAATATGTCGATCTCTTGGGCGCAGAACGAGTCACGACTGATCATCTCTTTAAGAGTGGCGGCCGATAGGGCGCAGAAGTTGTCGCTGCGGATCACGTCCAGCGCCTGGCGGTCGACGAACGCGCGGCACACGTCGGCCAACGGTGTCAGAAGGAACAGATTGGCCGTATCGTAGATGACACACACGTTACGTATGGACAGCGTGTCCTTCAGGTACTCGCAGATGGACTCTTCCAGCTCTAGGAAGCCGTACTCGTGTGAGAGGCCGAAGATTTCCAAAATGATCTCCTCTTTGAAGCTCTTGAGCTGAATGTGTCCGCAATACAGATATTTCAGTAGATATTTGAACGCCTGAACCGACGATACGGTGAGTCGGACCTCCTTTTCGGTGGACTCACGCATTCCTCCGTAGAGAAGGGCCCGAAAGTAGTCACTCCGAGCGGCCAGTAGTACGCGATGGGCGGGCAGTCTCTGGTCGTCCACCAGAAGCGTAATGTCGCTGAAGGTTTCGCTGAGATAGAGAGCGGACAAGTTGTCCGACAGTTGCGAAATGTGGTTCACTTCGCCGGCCATCAGAGCTATGGTCTGAACGCCATCGCCGGCACCGTCGCCGCCACCGGTCATCGCCGCCATTTCGCTCGACTTCGGGTGACTGTCACTCATTGGTTGTGTTCTTCGGCCGCCACAGACACACACCACCACCCGATCGGTCAGTGGATCAGTTGACCAATGGGTCAGTCAATCAATCAACGGTACGTCCGGTGGTGTTATCGCTCCGATTGAAAACCGTCGATGAAATAAGTTTTTTGGCCGCAATTATCAACACTTTGTGTTAATTAGTTATAAATGATGTGTAAATCAGTTGTTAATTAAAACGGCATTAAAAATATTTGACAACATTTTAATCAATGGTTTGTTTTGTGAGCAAATGTCAGATGTTTTCACTGTTTTGGCCATTCATTTGTCAATAATATAAATAAACACTCGCTTTCAGTGCATAGCATAGCGTTTGGCGTCAATTACGGCCGCAAACACTGTTTGCCACGAATTGGTGTCACTCTATGCGAGTCTATGGCAATAGCGTAGGGGTTCTCCCATTGGGGGACACGTTATGTGTGGACGTAATTGATGTGCAAATAGTGTGATGTGTTGTATGTGTTGTGAGTCACACATAGAGTGTATGCAAAACAATACATCAAAACTAATTAATTGTGTTTTTATTGATATTTAATTGTTTTTTAATTGATTATCATTTTCTCATCGATCGTCTCATTTGATCCACTCGTTGGCCCTTCCATTGCCAGAGTCTTCGAGCCCTCTATAGTCAGCCATCAAAGTATTGTACACATCATTGATAAGTGAGAGAACCGGAAGAATATGTCGACAAGTTTTACGGTTCGCGAGCGGCAGAAGAGTTGAGTATTATATCTATGGATCTGTTGTACCACTCGTTGTCTTAACTCTGTTTGTTTTTATTCCTCCGCAGATGCCATGAAAGCCATACTGAATCTGAACGCAACGGTAAACGGGAGTACAGCGGCGACGGGCGCCGCATCGGAACCGGTTTGGAAACTCTTTATATACGACCGGTGCGGACAAGACATCGTTTCGCCACTCTTTTCGGTTAAAGAGTTACGCGAATCGGGTATTACTCTTCACATGTATGTATCGACACAGCCATCAGTTCATTATCAATGATTTCTTAACTAATGTATGTTTTATATGTCCCACAAAACCATTGATTACAGGCAACTACACTGCGATCGGGACCCGATTCCAGACGTGCCGGCCGTCTATTTCCTGCTGCCGACCGACGAGAATGTGATGCGAATCTGTCAGGACTTCCGGAACCAACTCTACGACCAC